GGGGGGGAGTAGGAGAAATGTGGGTTGATATCGGGAGAGAAAGAGGGTGAGAGGGAGAGAGAGGGAGAGAGGAAGCGAGAGAGAGAGAGAGAGAGAAAGAGAGAGAGAGAGATAGAGAGAGAGAGAGAGAGAGAGAGAGAGAGAGAGAGAGAGAGAGATAGGTGGACATATAAAAACGGAGAAAGGGACAGAATTGAGGGAGGAAGAGAGAAAGGGAATTGGGGGATAGGGATAGAGAAGGAGAGAGAGACTTTTAATTTTGGTTAATTGAACAGGCGAAATATCTTTATGACCTTCGTATTCCATTTTCGTACTGCACATGTCTTGGAACTGATCATCAATATAACAACATGTAGTAAGCACGATGAAAAAAAAGAAGCAAAACGCTGGTAGAGACTTGATATTTATAACACTTTAGAATATGTTTCAAGTTTAACGTTTCACCCTGTGGGCTTCGTCAGTTACGTGGTAATGAAATAATTACCGTCCTCTCAAAAAGAAAGAAATAATTATTACACAAAATGATTATTAGCATAATTATTATAATAACATGTAGTTCTTCATTAGAAGAGCAAAAGAGCGGACATACTACGTAGTTAGCAGTACTCGCCGAGTCACCACTTACCGTTTCACTGAAGCTTTATCCTGGAGGCTGACGAAGGAGAACAACAAAAATAAATTGGCAAACAAACAAAAGTCAAGGCAAAGAGCAATAGGTCAGCGTAAGGGCTGGAAGTTGTACTCTCCTGTCATTTTTCTCTTCAGCAGGAAAACGGAAATTTGTTGCTTGTATTCCCCCCTTACGTCAAATGTCAAGGGGTCAAGTGGGTGGTTGGGGGGTGCTCGGGTGTGGTTTGCTCCTTCTTTTTATCAAACATATATTGTCCTCATCTCTCCATCTTTTTTGTGTATGTTACTCTCTTGTAACACATCTATTCTTCGGCTCTTATACGACCTTATTGTGTTGCTTGTGCCGTAAAACTCTTTCTAAAACTGTCAAGAGGATCCGTTCCAATGGATTCCTCGGGTTAGACGAGGACGGGTGTAGTTAGTTTTAGAGAAAAAGTAGATCATGGAAAGTGCACAAATACATAATTTAATTTTTAAAAGAAA